AAGGAAAATCTGAATTTCAATCAGAGCAGCACTGCGGAACAGGAAGCACAGCCCTCGTTCCCCACAGAGACGTGAGTTAACAAACTATGGTCTGGAGCTCAAGAGAGCAGTGAAGAAGCCAAAGCACCCCAGCAAGGACAGCTGCGCTGAAGCTGGTAAGAAAACCACTGCCTTCCCCAGCAAGGTCCCCTCACCCCACACAGCGGAAGACCAACGGGGGAAACCACCCAACTGGAGGCTCCTCCCTGGGAGGGAAGGCGGAGCGGAACGCACACGCGAAGTTCTAGGGAGCCTGCCTAGACGCCGCGTTCCGTTTTGTCTGACTCCCAGCGCTGACCAGGATCTGGCACGTTTAACAAGCGGTCAGCTCAGAACAAAACTGAGCTCTGCTTTGCGGGGACATCGGAGAACCCGCAGTACCACAGGTAGACACCAGAGGGAGCAAGAGACGAGCGTCTGAAACTGTGAGCTCCTTGGAGATTTTGCGCAACAGGAGCCAGAGTAGACGCGTCCCCCCAAAAGACTGGCGGGGAGTCCCGGGAGCCTATAACCAGGCTGATCGGTAAAGGTCTCTCTCTGTTTGAATCCAGTCTGTAAAGAAGGGGCGAGGTGGGTGTTCTTCAAATGTTCAAAATCTTACATACTAACATAGCAAAACGTACAATCATTGTAATATGATGTCTTTGACTCTTTGGGAAGATGCCCAGAATGGGAATAGCTCGCCTGAAAAACATTTCTGGTTTTACTTTTTTCCTAAGAATCTCCATACCAGTTCCCACAGTCATTGTACTAGTTGACATTCCACCAACAGTGTAGAGGTATTCTTTTCCCCCTGCAGCCCTGCCATTACTGACTGATAAGTTGAATGGAATCTCGGTGTTGTTTTGATTTGCATTTCTCTAGTGGCCAAAGATGCTGAACATTTTTTTCCATGTAGTTATTGATTGCTTATATTTCTTTTGTGCAGTATCTATGCTTTTCAATTGCCCATTTTTTGATTTGGTCATTATTTGGGGGTGGGTCTAAAGTTTTTGAGTTTTTATGTATTCTTGGTGTGAGTCTTTTGTCCAAGGAACAGCTGGCAAAATGTTTTTCCCATTCTGTAGGTTGTCTCTTCACTCTGTTGGTTGTTTCCTTTGCTATGCAGAAGGTTTTTGTTTGTTTGTTTGTTTCCGGTACTGGGAATCAAACTCACAACCTTGCGCTTGCCAGGTGGGTGCTGTGCTGCTGAGCTAAATCCCCAGCCTATGCAGAAGATTTTTAGTTCGATATGATCCCGTTTATTAAGTGTTACTTCTTGTGCAGTTGAGGTTCTGTTAGAAAGTTCTTGCCTATGCTTACGTCTTCAACAGTTTTACTTACTTACTTATCTTCTACCAGATTGAGTATTCATGTTTTAATATTTAGGCACTTGTTTTATCTTAGAACAAGGTGAGAGGTATGGGCCTAGATCATTCTTTTGCATGTAGATAACCAGTTTTCCCAGCATCTGATTCTTTTTTTTTGGCCTTTGTGGATCTACTGTTGATCCCTTCTAGTGAATTTCTTAGTTATTGTGTAAAATTTCTGTTCAGTTTCTTTTTACAATTTATGTTTCTTGATACACTCATTTTGGCCATACCTCATTTTCCTAGTTTCCTTTGTTTGTCCATTTTGCCCTTTAGCTCCCTGAGCAAATCTGAAGCAGTTGAGTTAATATCTTTGAGTAATAATTATAATACCTCAATATCCTTGAAGATATTGATCATGTTTCTTTCTTTTCCTGTGATTGAGACATACTTTTCTGTTTCTTTGTGTGTTTTGTAACTTTTTACCGAGAATTGGACATTCTGAATATTATAATGTGATAACTATGAAAATTGGGTTCTCCCAATCATCAGGGATTTCTGATTTTATTTGTTGAGTTCTGGAGCCAACTATTTGTGAATTCCTCAATTACATTTGCAAATTGAGTATTCTTTGTTGTTTGTGGTTACTGGAATTTTTGTTTCATTATCTCTATGGTCTGCTAGTGGCCTGACAAGAAATTCTTTAAATGTTTAGCTGCAATAAATGGAGAAAATAGGAATTCGTCTTTTTAAATCATCTCACAAATGCTACTGTGGATCGGAGAAGCCATTGCCGCAGAGAAGCCATTGCCGCAGAGCAGGAGGAAACTGAAACCAAGGCAAAAGTCTGCGTTGGTCTTCAGAATATGTTCCAAGCATTCGGAGCATCAATCCCAATTTTACAGGGCGAGTTCCCACATTCTCCCCCAGCAGCAGCCAGGCACTCCACTGGGGCAGATGTATGGGGAGAGAGTAGCTAATTTATGCGCAGTCACCTTTACCAAAGAGCAGTATCCCCTCCCCTCCGGAAGCTCTCCATGGGTTTTTATGTGTGTCCAGTCATGTTTTTGAGTTCTGAAAGAGTTCTTTTCTCTTTTAAACTCAGTGAGTGTGTTGGAGGAAAGATCAACTTCTAGAACTTTTTACTTAACCAATTCACATGGCATCGCTCTTTCTGTTCTAGCTTGTTTTGCAGAACTGCTTTTCCAAGTCCTACTGGCGCCATGCTGTGTCTCACAGCCGATGCCATCCGGTCTCCTTTCTGGGTGCAGAAAATTGAAGGGACCACACGAGTGACAGGCTTCTCTGCTCTGCCCTCAAAGATGTGTATGTTTTTTAAAGAAATAAAAGTTATTTGTTTTTTCTGATGACAAAAATACTTGCACTTAGAAAACTGAAAAAAAAAAAAGAAATTACCCATAAAAATACCTGCAAATGTGTATCTATTCAGAAGAACATTTACGTGTGATTCTGTGTTTGAAGAGTGATTTATGCTGTTCTGTAACTTGCTTTTGAAAACTTAGTGTACCTCTGACAGCCTTCTATGTCGGTAATGCACATCGGGATTTAAGGTCAAGGGGCACTTTCTTTAGTACCTCCCAAGCATCTAACTCTTTCCCAGCATCTTCACTAGCATTACGTGTAGTAAAAAGAACGCTCAGAAGAGCTAGGTAAATGGTTTCTCTAATGGTAAATTCCTAAGGTCTGCGGCAGTGGGTGTGCATTTATGGGGTTGGTAAACACGGTCCGCTTGCTTGCCCAAAGCCTGTGCCCCTGTGTGCTCTCACCAGTCAGAGCCCAGTGACTGTGTCACAGTGCCAGCGTCTCTTTCCCACTCCGCCCTTGCCAGACACGCTCACTGTGAACACTGTCACTTTGGGATAGACATGCACCTGCCTGTTCTTTCTTTTTTTTTTTTTTTTTTTTTTGGTACCGGGAATTGAACTCATGGCCTTGTGCTTGGCAGGCAGGCGCTGTGCTGCTGAGCTAAATCCCCAGCAAGTTATTTCATTTTTTAATTTACTTTTTATTTTCTGTGTGATGACTATCTGTCCACACAGTTACTGCCCATTTCTCCCACTGGAACATTTACCCACTTTTCTTTTGCTGGGCGTGTGCGAGTGTAATAAACTCTTAATATTTATCTTGAAAAGTTTTTTTTTGTCTTAGCTTTTTATCTACTTATTTCTTTTTTAGTTTTAAAATTTATTTTATACTTTTCTATAAATAATTTGTTTTTTAGAGGAAAGATGCCCAGCATTTGACCAGGTACAGTAAGACTTGAAGACACAGAAGTGACTGCCAAAAAGGAAGAAGTTTCTGTGTTCACACATTCCCAGTGACAGGAGGGACAGATGAGCCATGTAGACCACACAGCTGCCCATGTGCCATCTGGGGGTCAGAAAACACAGGGGGCAAGAGGCACAATGGGTCAGAGACTTCACTGTGGCCCCTGCAGCTAGGAATAAGAGAGGCAAGTAACACAGTGTCAGGCCTGGTTCAAATAATTTTAGTGAGCTCTAGGACACAGGCCCTGTCCCTAGTGGCCCTAAAACTGGGCTTGTGCTGGGTTTGGCCTGAGATGATTGGAACAGAGTGTAAAAGGCTGGTGGCAGAGGGGTCTGGCTTCCAGACCGGTTAGTTTGCACATGACAGGTACCATCCTGGTTGAGTTGTTTGCTGTCTCTAGGAATTAGCTAAAGGAGTGGGGCAGATTTCCCTCCCACCACAGAGGCCCCTAGTGTCCATCCATAAGATGTTACAGAGAAAAAAGGCATGATTAATATAAACTCTTAAGCAGCTAATTAAAAAATAATTGTATTAATTTATCTCTTGGCATTGCACCTAGAAATAGGAATTCCACAATGCTCTTATAAAACACTTGCTCTTTTACTACATTAGTAGTTTACTACAATGCTTTATTGCTTTCTTCATCAGTTAGTATATTTGGCTCCTTATTTTAACATCCATATATATCAGTATTATAATGAGCAAAGTTTGAATGATATGAATTTTTCCCATACTATGTTCCTATGGAGAGAAAAAAATGAAATCTACTCCTCCTTAAAAAAATTAAAGGCTTCCAAAAAGTGAATGCTGTAAAATCTCTCTGTCTACTTTTCTTCATACTGCTTGGTTCTACTCAGAGGAGCGCCTTCTCACATGGAAGATTTTGGGGACTTGTCCTCAGAGTTCGTAGCTGAGCATAGGAATCCGTAGGTGGTCTGTCCCCTCACACATAACCAGTACAGAGAAAATCAGTCTACAAAACAGGTTTATCCTAAACATAACAATACTTCATACTTGCCAATGTGGCAGACTAAGTCTTGGGTCCTTCGGCATGCATGCTACTCATCTGTCCACGTCCTACTTCCTCCCCTACTTTCCTAAAAGAATTCCTACTTCTTTAGGGGTGGTGATGTGTCTAAACCTAGCAAACAAATGCATAAACAACAGGAAAAAATGAAAACGAAAATCCTTATAGAAACAAACTGCTTTTCTCGGGCTCTTTGCAGGTGGATGGCTGTCCATACATGAGCATGGACGCTGCGTGGGCTCCTGGGAAGGCCTTGGAGACGCTGGGCCTTTTGTCCCGCCTTCCCTTCTAGGGACAGGAGGAGGTGTGCCATCTTGGCTGGACCCCTGCAAGCCCAGGCCCGAGCTCGTCAGCATTCAGAGACTGCGGCACCTCTGCTGGAGTCTTCCCATAGTCCGATTCATGTCCTTGTTCCTCAAAGGGGTGTGCAGGCGTGGGTCTGAGGTGATGGCCAGGATGGTGAGCGTGTTCCCAGCAACAGTGACCAGGAAGACGCACAGGAGGAGCCAGAAGAGGACTCGCTGCTGCCCCGGGTCACTGTGATGCCCAGCAGGAGAAACAGTCCCGTCTGGGTCTCCAGCCCCCTGGACATCTCCCTGTGGCTTAGCGGAGTGACAGGCTGCACCATAACAAGTGATGGCTAAATCCCAGCAGGGCCTAGAGGTGCCGCGTGTTCAGAGTCGGATCAAAGTTCATTTGCAATGAGACAAGAGAATAGGGGTGTCTAGCTGCACTTGTGGCCACTTTTTATGGCAGGCACAAGTGCCATCCCACCAGACGCTTCATGTGCACAATCTCTGTCCTCCCCCCAAACAGGGGCTTTGTTATCCCATTTCTCAGTTACATAGCTGTGGCTCAGAGTGAGTAATTGGTCAAGACCCTACACTAGGAAGTGGTGAAAGGGACTTTGAAGCCAGCGTGGTCTGGATCCAGAGCCTGTGCCCTCAGCCATCGTGCTACAGAGGAGAGTCCGGTCAGTTCTAGGCACTGTACCCAGGGCAACGTCACTGTACCCAGTACGGTGAGTTGAGCTTGAGTCACCAGACAGCCCGCCTCATCGTGTGACAATTGTGGGTGAGGGGAGTACAACAGCTGGGGTTGGGCGCTGGCCTCCAAGCACTGATGGTTGTGGAGGCAGAGCCTGGAGGGAAAAGACAGCAGGAAACAGTCAGAGTCTCACAGGGGACAACGGCCAGCAGCGGCTTTACTGGTCAGAAGCCTCCTGGCACTCAGTCCTGTGTGTAAACCTCTTCAAGACTGTTCTGGTCTTGGCCACCAGACAGTGTAAGGCGGGCTGTTCTTATCACGCCTCCCCCACCAACCAACCACGTGACCTTGCCCGCTCTTTCTCTGCTTTGGGCCTCGCCGTGCATCTGTGAAGTACACAGCGACTCCCAAAGTCTCCAAAAGGTTAAGGCTTCGTGCTTTCAGGACCTTAACCTAATGTTACCTGAACCCTGTCCCCTCTTCTGTTCCTCTGCCCAAACAGCCTTCTTCGTGTCATAAATAAATCTGCCATTAGGTGTGGGGTATGCACCTATAATCCCAGCACTTGGGAGGCTGGGGTAGGAGGATCTTGAGTTTTAAGTCCAGAGGGGAAAACAAAGTGAGTTCAACATAGCCTGAGCTGCACAGTGAGACCCTGTCTCAAAACACCAACAAATGAAACATAAACAACAACAGATAGTCCTTTATTGACTACTTAGCTTTGAATGATTTCATCTTTAACCGGCATTTGCAATTTCTCAAGACTGGTGTTCATCTCATGACAAATTTTAAGGATACAGTTGAATTTTTTTAATAATAAAAATTGCATGAAACAGTTGAATTATCAAACAGTCTTTTGGCAGCACTATGTTCTATAAAGAATTTGTGTTATAATTGTGCTTTTGTATTATGGATTTGATCTGCACCATAGAGTTGAAATTCTTAAGGGACCACCTGCAAACATTATTCAAATTCAAGTGAAATAGCAGAAATGATGAGATTTTCATCTAGTTGCTTACTCCATCACCCACAGGTACATGCGCAGCTCTCTGCTAGTCCTGTGGGGCTGCCAGGGAATGCGGACCAGACTCCAACCTCAGTCTCTACACTGCATTCCAGAGAGCACTCGCTAGGCCTACAGCCAACGAACCTAAAAATGTGAGACTTGTTGGAAATTGTGAGGCCTCTTAACGCAGCACAGTGCCTGGCTTATGAGGGAAGACACTGTGTGGAATGTGAGACAATAAAACATGCCTTTAAAATACTTTCTTTTTGTAAAAAAATCCACATTGCCTCATGTGTTGTTTAGTAATTTTTTTTGTTTGTTTGTTTTTTCTCTGGTACTGGGAATCGAACTCACGACCTTGCACTTGCCAGGCAGGTGCTGTGCCGCTGAGCTAAATCCCCAGCCCAGTAATTTTAAATGGAAGCATCACACACATGTAGCGAGGGCTTGGTCAGGGCCCTGATGTCCTAAAAATGAGTGTACAGCAAAGGCTTAAGTAAAAGAGACAACAGTATGGTTTTGGGGTCCAGGAAGGTCAGAACTGTCTTGGAGCTAAGACAAAGACTTCTCTGGACTGCCTTGGATTTACTAGATTTCAAACAAGTTTGGAAGGCATGAGGGAAAGTGAATAGAAAAGCTGAGGTAAAGGTGGGAAGCTGAGCAGGGCCTTGAGAAATTAGAACAAAGTCTTCCAGAAATAAATTTTGCCAATGAAGAGAACTATTTTATCTCTAAGGTTGATAGTTCCTGTTCTAGAATACGGAGTGAGAGCCTGTGTTCTCGGCAGCCTCAGCCATGGTGTTATCTTGTCTTCAGAGCACTGTGGTCAGCAACTCGACCCTTACACAGCCTGGCCCCAACACACACCCTTTTAAGGTGAGCAAGCTCTTGTGCCTTGAGGGGACCCCTCTCTCTCTGTTCCCACCCTGTCCTCTCCACTCTGCTACTCCTGAGGAAGTTGAGGCAGAGAAATGCTGAGAGCCCCTGGCTGAGATGGACTAGAGATGGACTTGATTCTTGAGGGCATTGCTCTTCTTATTTTCCCTCTATGCAGCAGGGGTGATATGTTGGGGAGTGAGGAGAGGCTATTATTTAGGGTGTTTGATGTAGTCCTGGTGAAACAGAAGTCAGAGTGCTGTAGCTGTAGGGTCATATCAGCTATCAGGCAGAATGCCGAGAGCAAGCAGTCTCAAATACCTGCCCCTCTTCTGCTGAGAGGACTCATCCCAGAGAAGGGGCTATGAACCTGCTGACCCAAAATCCAGGGCCTGTCAGTGACCCAGCAGCTGTCCCATTCCAGCTTCCCATGGATGCTGCCTGAGCTGATCTTAATTCCTTTCCTTAGATTCTGGCACTGTAGGGAATCCTCCCGTCTAGGGGCTGATTTGTGGTTCCCTGATTGCCCCACCTAGGAGCGGGGCTTCAGCAGGAGCTATGTAGGTGAGATGTGTGGTTCCACCCATAACCCATGGAGAATGCTTGCTGGGGCACCTTTGGAAGTGATGACCTTCTAACAGCATGGACCCCATTAAAGAAGAGCACCCACTCACCCCCAAAGTAGGCTGCTTCTTTGTACTGTCTGCTCTTCAAATGTTCTATAGTTCAGGGACTGATTTAGGATGGTCTTGAAGTCTTCTCTGTAGATTCCTGTCAGATTGCTTTTGAAGAAATGTCGACTAAGTCATTATGCAGAGACAAGGTTCTGCTTTGAGGTCTTTGGGGATGTGGCCCCCAACAGGGCCACTGTACTAGTTGCCATTGTGATCAAATTTGTATTTCTTATTTTTATAGAGTTTATTGATAAAGCAAAGTACTCTCAGGCCAAGACTGAATACTATCTAGAACTGGTTAGCTGGTTGAATGCATAAGGATTTCCCCCATATATTGACTGACTTACCTTTCTGCTACCTTCTGTGGTCCTGGATATGGCAGAACATATGGTCATCCAAGGGTAATCAGGGCAAATGTCAGGACCCTATGGTTAAAACTGTATCAGGAGCAGCCCTCTCTTTTCTCAGTGTTCTGTGGCATGGGAGTGATACCTGGGTCCTGGGCAGCACAGCTCTCATCCTCTGGGCAGTACATAGTTTCATTTTATGGATGTGGGGATTTTATGGTCTCTGCCATAGAGTGAGCCTCTGGAGGTCCTTATTATGGGCAATCCACAAGGAAGTTTGTCTGTGTTCTGAAAATCACAAATGAATTACCTTCCTTCAAGGAGCAATGAGAAAGAAAAGGGATTAGTGTTTATTTTGTAGGTCAAAGATGGAGAAGTTATTTCTGGTTTTTCTTTTTGGTGGTGCTGGGTGTTGAATCCAGGGTTTTGTGCAAGCTAGGCAAGCAGTCTACCACTGAGCTACATTTCCAGCCCTTTTAAATTTTATTTTGAGACAGGGTCTCTCTAAGTTGCCCAGGCTGTCCTCTAACTTATAATCTTCCTGACTCACCTTCCCAAGTAGCTAGGATTTTAGGCCTGTGCAACAGTGCCCAGCTCCTATCAGGAATTTTTAAGGATAGTTCTAGCTCCTCCTGGGATATGGCCCTCAGTGGATTGGCATTCACTGAAGAGGGATGACCATGTCCTTTTTAAATATTGTCTGCCTCATTTTTATGCACATCAAGAGTAGGAGAGTTGAGGAATGCAGATCCTAATTTGGAGCAGAACTGCATTATCCTTGATCATTCAGCATATGGATTTTGGAATTGGTGTCTTGCTTTTGGAATTGGTGTCTTACTTTTCTCTTGCTGCTGGGACAAAATACCCGATGCCCAAAATTAGGTAAGGAAAGATTTATTTAGCTCACAGTTTGTGGAAGTTTCAGTCCAAACTCAGCTGGCTCCAAGGCAGGGTGGCACATGGCAGAGGGCAACAGTTCATGGAGGCAGAAGATAGCAAAGCAACAAGAGCAAAAAGGGAGGAGCAGGCAGCAAGCAAGCCTTTTTCCCTCCCTTACATTGTGTACAAGTTACCCATCCTGCTACACCCAGTGCAGGATGGCTGTAGCACTTACAGCCACAATCCCATTGGATGAAGAGTGTAGCACTCACACCCATAATCCCATTGGACCATGAGTCAATCAAAAACTGTAGAAGCTTGCCTCATAACTGCATAAGGCTTTGGGGGGTCATCTAGACACAAACTATAACAGTTGGAAAGACAAAAGAAGTTAGAGAACCAGCTAATACAACATGAGGTAGACAGGAAAGAATTTCAGCCTTACAGTCTTTGTTGAAAAGAACCTGGGAACACTGTGGTAAAATTTTTCATGCTGTTCTGCTTAGAGAATTAGGCCACATGTGTAGTATTTGTTCTGCACCTGATATTGCCTACCAATTTATGACATAAAATATGCTAAGGTTATTAGGATGACCTTTTTTGTCTAGGTAGCATGAAGAATGTTGGCCGAAGCTAATTGGCAATATGTCTAGGCTTGTTCCCTAGCACAGAGCTAAGGTCACAATCCAGAAGGTTCCAGCATTGCCTCTTGACCTGCAGTTACCGCACAAAGTGTCCTTGGGTGTGGTGTGACAGTCTTCTATCCTAATTTACTTGATTGGGAAGGTGGGGGGGGGATGGGAAGAAATCTCTTTAGGCTCTCTGCTTCCTGGCCCCCATGATGTGAGCAGCTCTCCTCCACCAGACCCTTCTGCCATGCTGCTTTTATCTGAGGCAGCCACCTTTAGACTGAAACTTCTAAAAGCTACAGACCAAAATAAACCTCTCCTCCTTTAAGTTGCAGGTGTTATGTAATGTGTCTCAGCAATGACACTGCGGATGCTGGTCAGGTATTTTGTAATAAATCTTTCTATTTGGGGTTCCCTTTTATTTCATGATTATCCTGTCATTTTGGCTTTTGGAGAAGAATCCCTACATGGTGAAATATCTATATGACACCATCTCAGGGATACATGATTTCAGCAGGACCTGAAATCAGTACCAAAAAAAACCTCCATCATGTCGTTCAGGTGACAGTTACCAGCATTCTCCACCATGAAGACTATATTTACTTTTCTATAATCTACTCTTTGGTAAAAAGTACTGATTCCAACTCACCCTCTGGGGAGAGGAGACAAGTCAGCTTCACACTCTGGTGGGTGGGGATTGGGAGGATGAAGCATCCTCATATATTGCTTAGAGATCTGTAAAGAAAGTTTGTTTCTTTTCTCTCACTTTTTTGTGTATTCAATTACTTGTTTTTAATCTATATATTCTTACTTATGTTTATTTCATACTTTATAATCCAGTATTGGCTGAGTATCTCTTATCTGAAATGTTTGGAATCTGAAGTATTACATGTTTTTCAGATTTTGAAATATTTGCATATATATATTGAGATATCTTGGGGATAGCACATAAGCCTAAACCTGAAATTAACTTACAGTTCATGTATAAATTATGCACATAGGCTGAAAGTAATTTTACATAATATTTTTATAGTAACTGCATTTTGACTACAGCTGTCACATAAATTCAGGTGTGGAATTTTCCCTTTGTGGGATCCTGCTTTCCCTCAAAAGTTTTGGGTTTTTGGAGCATTTTAGAATTTCTGATTAAGGATTCTCAAAGTATAATACATTACTTTCTTTGTTCCTGGAATGTTCCAATTTTCCTTCCTTCCTTCCTTCCTTCTTTCCTTCTTTCCTTCCTTCCTTCCTTCCTTCCTTCCTTCCTTCCTTCCTTCCTTCCTCTCTCCTTTCTCCTTTCTCCTTTCTTCCCTTCCCTCCTTCTTTTCTTTCATCTTATCTTCTTTTCTTTCTTTCTTTTTATTGGTACATTCTTACTTTCTTATACCATGAAATGCTCCACATTCACCTTGTTTTCCCTGTACCAGGATAAAATCAGCCATTTTTTTTTTTTTACTAGGAGCCAAAACCAATAATTTTTGATCCATAACACAATAAGCATGAAAGTCCAGAATAGACAGCAGATGACCAGCTTGAAAATAGGCTGGTCAGAATCCTGAGACTCACACATGAAAAGTTAGTGCAGAGTCAGATTTATTAGGATTCAGAGCTCAGCAGTTACACAAAGCCAGCTCTCAATATCTGTGTGGCCCAAAGTCAAGTCCCAGAACAGTCATTGCTGAAGGCTCATTGACATTGTCAGATACTGAAAAGAAAAAAACTATACAAGAGAAATTGTTCTTTTTAAAACTCTGTTCTTTTGAAACTGTCTAGCTCTGTAACTGCTTCATGACTTTGTAATTACTTTCACAACCCCTGTAACCAAAAGAGCATAACCAAGCATGCAGGATGCCTGATTGTACTATTGTACCAAACTTCATGAACTGATGATCATTAATCTACCCTTGTAACTGATGATCTCATCCTGCTAGCCAATCAGAAGAATGGCCAGGCTGTTCTGTCTCCCCTTTGTACATCCTTTGTACCTCCTGTGTATCATATAAAAGCCATAGACCACTAGAGATTGGAGCCTGATATTCTGGGAATGATCCAGATCAGTGCTTGTCGACATAAATACATCTGCCTCTAGATCCTGGGTGTTGTTTCCATGTTTCTCTTTGCCATAGCAATATAAAGTACTAGAAAGCTTAGCATCTCCCCTGAAGCAACAGGAGACAATATAAGACAGGGTGATAGAAACCATCTGTAGAAGACTGCAGTCACCAGCAAATAGCTGGAAGGCTTCTTCATCTAGAGATGACATTACCAGGTTCTCTGTAAAGTCTCCCTGGTAGACCTTGTCCTGGAGTAGAAACTGGAAGGACAAGTTAGGGAGGTGACTCATGGGAGGTGAAATACAGAAATACATTCCATGGCCTCAACAGGAGTTTCCTAGTTCTTCTGGAGAGAATGGTCTCTGGGGAGTGGTATACAGGGTGATGCTCTATTTCAACATTCACTGAGCTGCAGTCAAACTTTTCTCCCTGAGTTGCTTAACTGGCTCCCAAAGCATTGGTCCTTAATGACTGACTAGCTCAGGATGGGAAATGCTTGTGCGGCCAAGAGTGCGGTGCCTCCCGGGAGCCCACACGGCAGGAGGGAGGCTCCTGGAACAGGCCTGGTCCCTGGGAGCTCAAGCCCTGGAGGGCAATTCAGCAAATGCAGTCCTGACTTCCTGGCCATCCCTGGGGAGAACTCTCTTTCCTGGCATAGCACCTACTTCTATAATGTGCCATCACTAGAGACCTCACAGTTCTTTGCTGTAATTTCTGATTAGTTCATGTCCTATGAGTGCACTGCACACAAAGACCCACACCAGGGCTGAATTACCTGGGCCCCTGGAACAATCTTCCCCATCTCTCATGTACTTGGCCCATGCAGAGATGTGGAGTCAGTGATGCTGTAATGGCTCCCAGCTGTTGGAGGATGAAATACATAAGGATCATGCAGAATTAATGAGCACAGGACCACTCATGACATGGACAGGCCAACCAAGGCACAGGCCTTTCCTCTTCTTCCCTCACCAAGCTGTGGCTCTTGCAGGGCTTTCTTTATCCCTTTAGGCAAACTTCTGTATGGCCCATCACGACTTCCCAGGATGAACTTGGGGAACCGGTTGGTTAGAGAATGATTTTATTTTGGCCCTGTGCCTTTTAATGAGTTCACTGACTTCTCTCTACCTTCATTCTCCTCTGGATACCTAACTCTGGACAGAGTTTAGGGAGAGAGAGGTTGAGAAATGCATCTTACAACTCACTCCCTGACTCTTCCCATTCATCCTGGCTTTTTGGTTTTGTCCCAGTGAAGTCTGTCTGTGTTGCATCATCTGATATCCTTGTCTGATCTCTAGTTACTCAGATTCTGTTACATTACTCTGGTTTTTGATATTTAGGAATATAACTTCCCAATTTCCCATTAAGTAGTAAAAAATATCATCTTTTGTCTAAAACCCCATAGGTCTTAGTTGGGAGAGATTCCCTCTAGCATATGGCAGATTATCAGGAGGAAAAAAACATGGTTAGGAACATATGTCGTGCCTTATGCAGGGAAAAAGTGAATCTTCTGGGAAAGTAACCATTTCTCAAAACAGAGGGATGGAACTCTGTACTTACTAGCATTTTAATAAAGAGCATCACATCTTAGAGTGACAAGACAAAGGACAAGACCATCTGGCTTCTGAGCTGGGAAAAGCATGGGGGGATCATAAAATCTGCTCCCAGATTTCTCTGGCATCTGCAGGCACCATCTCTGGTGATGGCTTCTCACATAGGGGAGAGTTTATGCCTCTGGTTCTAAGAGGCAAAGGAAGGGCCCTTAGAAAGTCCCCTGTCTGTGTGACTCTTCCTCCTGCCATCAGGAAAACAGGAAGGCAGAGAAAGCTCCTGCTTTTCAGTTTTCTTCAGCTCAACAATCCTCAAAGTTTTAGCAAGAAATATTTTGGTTTCCTTCACCTGTCATCAGTTAATCTTCAATACATGGCTTTTTTTTAGGAGAACAAGAACTCTGCTGAACACTGTAGGGCATTTGCCCATGTATAAACTCTAGTACTTTCCCCAACTGAGCGTGTAATTTAACAATGGGATGAGACACGTATGCAGATGTGGGTATTGCAAGGAAGACTAGGATGGGAACCAAATAAGTCTTAGAACCTTAAGCAGCAAAACTTAGTCCATGTTATTTTCTCTGAAACGCTGCACTGACCCTCCTCTAAAGCAAATCTGATGAGTTAGAAAGTATACAAAGTTCGCCACGTGCTGTCAGGTTCCTGTCACCACCACATGCATCTCCCGGGATCCATATTCAGTTTGAGGAGCCTTCTGTGGGGAGCTCCAATATGTCTGTGGAATGCGATTTGTGAAGGGATGAAGACAAATGTACACTTGTTAGAATTTTAAAAACCCAGACAAGTCTTAAGATTTGGAGAATGTCATTGAAGAGAAATACTTAAGTCAATGAGAAAGAAAACTGTAAGGCCAGCTTGAGACCAAGTCAGCCAGGCTTTCTGCTCCAAACGGACATGCGCTTGGGTTTCTCCTGGCCGCTTCCATATTTTCTACTAGGATTGGCTGCCAGCTGCAATCAATACTTTAGCAGCCTTAAACTGAGCCTATGTTAGGACAGAGATGCACAGGGAGAGGCAGGAGGCTTTGGGATCAGCTGAGAACTGGTGAGTGGTAGTTCACCCAATGCAGAAGCAGCTGGGGCTGAGGGCTGTGAGTACCGATGGGCTCGGAGGTTGGAGGGAATGGAGAAGGGGAAGAGGGACAGGCAGGCAGGCCACGAGGGGCAGCAGCTGAGGTCTGGTCACTGGAGTTCAAGTGAGTATGCTCTGGACACCAAGAAAAGATGGTGGGAGTGGACCTTGTCAGTGCTGAGTATGACAAGGTGGGAACTGACCTTGCTGGCACTCAGATGTGAAATAGGAAAAGAGGTGTGGACTTGGGCCCCATATAGCAGAACAGATTCTGGACTTGGAGTCAGAAGTTTCATGTTCCAAATCCAAAGCCACAATTACTTTTTGTCTCCATGCCCCTAAGGTGCTATAGAAACTCTACACACCAGCTTTAAGGGTGCTCTGCTTCCTGAAGCCCTTCTAAACCTGAAGGGATACAGCCAGTTCCGTGATGAAGGAGAGCTGCTATCTGTAACTTCCTGTCAGCCATCCATAACTGGAACATCAAAAAAAACATCAAAAGTTGGGTTGGTGTTTGGTCATTCAAGGGTTTGTTTAGATCTGTGAGATGTGAAAGAACTGAAGTCTGGGACAGAAGATGAATGACTGAACATGGCTGAGACCGAATCCTGAGAGTGGGGAGATTGCACCATTCTGTACTTGAGAGCTACTAGTTACATAGTCCTGACAAGTTAACATTTTATATGAGTCAGTTGCCAGACTAACTGTAGCATCTACTTATCTGACTCAGGATAGCCAGCTCCAAAGCCTTCTGAAATTCTTAGACAAATGGGGTGGTTGGTGTCTTATGGGGCTGCTGGCTATACCCAAAAATGAATGAAATCTAAATATCTCTGGTTCTTCATTTTCCTTGTCTGGAAAATGATTACCTTGGAATCAGTCCATTTAGTAAAGAATTTACTGGTTTTATAACTATGAGCACCTGTCATTTACAAACTTAAAACTAGACCATGATTGTAGATCCCTACTTAGAAGAATAGCCGGGGTGAGTATTAGCCCATTGTGGGTTCTAATTTTTCTGTTTGTATGAAAAATTAATGCATGATGTCCAGCAGTCCTCTGAGCTCTAAAGTGTTCTAATTTTGGGATCTGAGAATTAGCTTCCTCAGGGCTGCTTTCATGTCCCGATTCCTCAGGCTGTAGATGAAGGGATTGACCAGTGGCGTCACTACTGTGAAGATGACAGAGGCAGCCATGTCCTGTATGGAGAAGGAGGATGAAGGATGCATATAGACTCCCAGGATTGCCCCATAAAAGAGGGAGACCACAGTGAGGTGGGACCCACATGTGGACAGAGCTTTTCTTATCCCCTGGACTGAGGGCAACTTCAGCACATTAGAGAAGATGTAGGCATATGAAACAACAATGCATGTAAATGGTGTCAGAAATACCAACCCCCCCTCAGTGAAGGCAGTCAGGTCATTGATAAAGGTGTCAGAACAAGAGAGCTTCAGGATAGGGTAGGGGTCACAGAAGAAGTGGTGCACAGCGTTGTTGGAACAAAAGTTGAGTCGAACCATGAGCAGAGTGTACAGGAGAGCATGCAGGTTTGTAATGACCCAAGAGACGGCCACCAGGAGGACACAGAGTTTGGACCTCATGATTATGGTGTAGTGGAGTGGGCGACAGATGGCCACATAACGGTCATAGGCCATCACACTCAGGAGGAACCCGTCCATGTTGCCAAAAAGGAAAAAAAAATACATCTGTGTCATGCACTGTGTGTAAGAGATGGTCTTGCTCCCCACCACGTGATTCACCAGCATCTTGGGGACTGTGGTTGATGAGAAGCAGATGTCAACACTGGAGAGGTTGGCCAAGAAGAAGTACATGGGCGTATGGAGATGAGGGTCACAGCTGATGGCCGAGATGATGAGCAGGTTGCCGATGATGGTGACCAGGTACATGCACAGGAACAGCCCGCAGAGCACCTCTTCCTGCTCTGACTGGCCAGACAGTCCCAGGAGGAGGAATTCTGTGACTCTAGTGTGGTTGTCCCCACCCATGTCTGTGGGTAAGGAAGTATCATCATATCAGAGAATAGTATGCTAACGTTTCAGTAGAAAGATTGTGTAGTTTGAAATAGTTTACTACTTGGATGATAATTAACTAAAACTGAATTAACTTATTGAGTAATGTTATAGAAAAAACCTACCTGATTTTCATAATCTTTAATTACTATGGCTATAGTTTTATCATCTGCACTACCATGTATCATTTGTAGGTAGTTTCCTATATAATATTAACTCAGTGTAGCAGAGATATTTTATTTCACTATGTAGATGGAAAGACTTAGAATGGGGGCAGGTAGAGGATTTACTCCAGTTTATAGGGACAGACTGAGGATTCCATCCCAGCGGGCATGCTTTATTTCTTTATAATATGGGCATCCAATTCTTTGGTTTATCTTAGTCACACTAAGGATAGCCAGCTCCAAAGTCTTCTTGGGCTGGATATAAAATGTGTCACACAGTTACTGTACATAAAATAAAAAACTTCCCATACTTTAAAATATTTTTATTAGAACACTGAAATGAAAGTGTTGCCAGCACACTTACCCCATAATTCTTGCAATTGTGTCTTTTGTTGTAATACATTTTAAAAAGTATCTTTAACATATTCACCATAGTTTTCAACCATCCTTTGTTCATGTAATGGGGACAAGGCGACTGCCTGTCTGAGAGTTAAATTAGTGAAATTCAGGGCAAAGTGCTGAGATGTGAAATTATAACCTGAATTAACTCCCAGAACCAAGGCACACAGAGCACCAGTTCGAGGTGTTCCTGCTGAGGCACAGGTGATAGAGAACTTCCAGGTAGAGGGATGGGGGAGGGTGTGGTGGGATACTTCCTTGTGAGAAAGAAGAGAGTGTCTTAACCGCTAGATGTTAGTACTCTGATGTTCACAGGTAAGTTTCCAGAAACAAAACAGAGACAGAGAGAAGTAATATGGTGTCGGGGTTTTGTTCTGGAGTATTTGCTTGTGAGGTCAAATACTGAGAACTTCAACCTCAAATTACCCTACACTGTCTAGTTATGGTGTCTATACTGAGAAGTGTAGTGGCCTTAGCATGGTCAGTTACTAGAAATCATATCATCCTTTCATGCAGGGCTCAGGGTTTGTAGTTCAAGGCCCAGCAGTTTGAGGTTCTGCAGGAACCTTCTATGTCATGGTAGGTCCCACACTTACTTCCTCTTGCTCTAATTGGATACCCCACCCATCTTCTGGACTTCGATTCAGATTTCTGTGCAGTATCCTTGTAGGGAGAGAGGCTCCTCCCACTCCTTTTGACCATAACCTTTAGTTTGTGAGACTTAGGTAAGCTGATGTCTGCTTTCATGCATTAATCTCTGTGAGTCAGCCAGTGTGTGACTATGTCTGAGCCACTGACATGTCTGCACCAGTGCGTGTTTGTGCTTTCCTCCTTAAGCAAATACTTCTTAGTCTCTGAATTCCTGTCCAAGTCAGCATCCCTCCATGGGGCTCAGAATGGCATCCAAGGAGCCACTGCAATCATAGAGTGTGGTGAATGACATAAAGAAATGACTGGCACCAAGGTGGAGATTAGGACCAGAGCACGAGGGACCTGTATGGCTGGGCAAGGAGTCTCTGTAGGTGTTGGGAATACAGGCTTCCACGTCTGAGCTTCTAGGCAAGTTGAGCAATACCCTTCAATCCCCACTGCCAGGTCAGCCAAGCCTCTCTATCTCCTTCCTTTCCTACATTCTACTTTCCTATTTCCAAGTCAGAAGCACACTTGCTTGTCCTGCTGTGGACAGCACAGCTTCATAGAGGAAGGCTTCTTCACAGCAGAACAACACACATTTCCTGCTTCGAGCTGGGTTATACGCACAGGGATTTCGTGGCTCTGTTTTTACAAATGTCTCTCTGTGTCCCTGTGAATCTGTCTGCCATTGGAGGTAGCTAAGCCTCACCTGCTTTTCCATCCCTTCTTACCTGGCCTCTCTCTGCTGCTGTCAGATGTTCTCAGGAAATCTCTGTCTCTGCCAGCTCCTTGCTCTCTGTTTGGATGGTGGGAAATTCACAGCTGGGGCTGAGACAGAAGACAGGTTCTCTGGGGCCAACCCTTGGTGATTGGTATATGTGCTGCCAAAAACAAGCCTTGATAATTTGGAGCAAACAGATAGATCCTTGCTGCCTATTTCCCCAGAGGTGGAGATTTCCCTGAAGATTATTGCTGTTAGTGCCCCGAGGGTTGATTCCTTGCAAGTCCTCAGTAGGACCCAGGTTAATTGTTCATTGTGTGCATTCTGTCTGGACTGGGAGTGTAGCCATTTTAGAAACTCAGTTCTTATGCAAACACTTGCTGCACAATCTTGAGCACTCATCTCCCCTTTCTTGATCTATTCCCCAAAACAGCAATGAGAAGAGGGAAGAAACCAGTTGATAAACTGTGTGAAAAATATAAAAGCACAAAACAAAAATGTGAAAATATAGCAATACAAGGAGACTTTTTCTAAATCTGTAGTATTTACTGGAACACTAAAATATCTCTCAAAAGTTAATCTTTCTAGTAGCCCAGTAGAAATACTGATAGGGATTTGATTTCCCAAATAAAAGGTAGCATATAAAAATGTCATAAAATACATGCACACATTTATCCACATATAATTACACCATATATATATCTGTCAAAATATAGATTTCCATTAAGCTTCATTTGTATTAACTAGTATTGAACATCTCATTGGTTATACTGAAACTCCTCAAAGTTCGCTGAAATATACATGCTATGTGGCACATAATCAGGTCATAAAGGAATGAAATGAGAACCCAGCAAATAGAATTTTAAAAGAAAAAGGTCTTATTTGAATTTTTTTTAATTTTGAGGTATATTTTATATGCAGTAAAAATAATTTCTTTTATTTATTTATTTTTTGTCTTTTTGAGAGAGGGTTTGGCTATGCAGTTCAGGCTGGGCTTGAGCTCACTTTGTACCCCAGGCTGGTCTTGAATTCACAGCCTCCTGCCTCAGCCTCCTGAGTGCTGGAATTACAGGTATGGAATTACAGGAATTACAGCTCACTTTGTACCCCAGGCTGGTCTTGAATTCACATCCTCCTGCCTCAGCCTCCTGAGTGCTGGAATTACAGGCATGCTCCACCACACCTGGCAAAATCATTTCTTTTAGTGTATATTTCTATGAATTTTGACAAAGGCACGCAGTATTATAACTTCCATCACAGTGAAGATATCAAACAGTTGAATCATCTGCAGAGAATTCCTCTAGTGTGCTTTGTAGTTAACTCCTATCCACATTCTAGTAATCACTGGTATTTTTGTGTCAATAGTGTGATCATTTTTATTTTGGAGTAATATTTAATTATTTTGAACTACCACCATTCATTCATCCTCTCAAAGACATTGGAGCTGTTTTTAGCTTTATATATTGCAAATGAATCTGCTATAACAAGTTTATGTAGGTGTTTGTAAATATAACTTGCTACTTCACTTGGATGTGTATGGAAGACCAGGACTGATGGGTTATACAGTGAATTTTATGGACTGTACACTTGTATTTCTCTCATATCCTATGTTGTAGTCATAATCCTCCATGCACCTGCATGTGTAGATCAAGACCCTGAAGAAGCAGCTAAAGTTAAATCAAATTATAAGATACGGACCTATAAAGAGAGTCATCAGAGCTTTCTTTCTGTCTCTATTCCTCACTGTTCTTCAGTGCAGGCATGGAGGGAACGTCTCATGGGGCCAGCAGGAAGGTGACATCTCAAGTCTGGAAGAGCCCTCAGTACAGACTGTGTCAAAACCTTGACCTTAAACTTCCAGGCTCTGGAAGCTGAGAAAATAAAGTGAACTCCTGTTGTTCCCACCATCTGCTCTGTGGTATTTTTCAGCCTGAGTGGACCATATATGTAGTAAGTATACTTTTAACATCCTAAGACACTGTTGAAATGTTTTCCAAAATAGTCACACCATTTTGCATTCTCTTCAGCAAGGCAGAAGAATTTGTCTTTTTTCTCCATGTCCATGATATTTTTAGGTTTAAAAAGGCCATTTTATTTGCTATGTGGTGTTATTTCTTTATGGCTCTAATTTGCATTTCTGAAGACTAGGGCAGTGGGCATGTCTCATGTTATTATTTCTCACCCATATATCTTCCTTGGCAAAGTGCTTGCCCAATATGTTACCCAATTGGTAGTTTTTTAAATTTAATTTTCCAATCTTGAGAGAGCTTCATATACTGATTATGAACTGCTTATCAAATATAGCATTTTGAAATAATTTCTCCTAGTTTATGCATTGCTTTTCCATTACTTAACAGTATTTTAGAAGATGAAACATTTTTAATTTTATGGAAGTCTAATTTGTAAATTAAGAAATTTTATGGTCATACCTTTTTTGCTGTATATACGGAACTACTGTCAAACCTGAGGTCATGAAAATTTACTTCTATGAGCTATTTAATATTAAGATTTCCATTTCTTTTTTGAGTTTATTTGTATATGATGTGACATAAGGATCTGTTTAATGTTCTTAATATGGCTACTTAATTGTTAAATTGTGAGGAAAAGATTATCTTTTCCTCAATGAATTGCTTTGGCACTTTTATCTCAAATCCATTCACCATTTGTTGATTGATTGATTGACTGAGACACGATTTCATTATGTAGCCCAAGCTGGCCTCAAATTTGATCTTCCTACCTCAGCCTCCTGAGTGATAGGAGTACAGGTGTGCGCCCTGTGCCGGGCCCACTCACTATCTATAAGTGGGTCTACTTTTGAACTTACTGTGTTTCATTCATCCACATGATTATATATTGAGCAAACATGTTGTAGCTTTGAAACAAGTTTTAAAATCAGATAGTGTGAATCCTTCAACTTTGTTCTTTTTTCAAATTGTTTTGCTATTCTAGCTCATTTTCCATTCTACATCAATATTACATTAAATTTATGCATTTCTAAAACAAATTCCTTCAAGTATTTTAATTTGGCTGTGATAAACCTATTCATTATTTAGAGAGTA